CGGCAGCGCCCCCACGGGCCGCTGGTGCCCCACACGGCAGCCGGCCCGACCGGCTGATGGTCCACACCGGCAGCGCCCCACCGGCGTGCCCCCCACACGGCAGCGCCCGACCCTGTGCTCCCACAGGGCACGCAGCCCCCACCGTGCCGTGTCCCCACACGGACAGCGCCCCCCGGCCGTGCCACCACGAGCGCCCGGACCGCTGTGTTTCCCACCAGGGGGCAGGCCCCCACCGGCCGTTTGTCCCACACGGCCAGCGCCCCACGGCCGTGCCCACACGGCAGCGCCCCCACGGGCCGGTGTCCACAACGGCAGCGCCCGACCCGCTGTGTCCCACACGGCAGCGCCCCCACCGGCCGTGTCCCACACGGCAGCGCCCGACCCGCCGTGTCCCTTACATTCCTAGACAGCGGAAACAAAACGCACGGCTGTTTCCACCGTCAGACGCTGTGGAATGCCCGGCCCTCCCTGACCAAATGCTGTCTCCGAAACGCCACTGGTGGCAAGATGCAGTTTGAGTGGATCGAGGAGAAATAAACTTATTCCTCCCTAAAAAAAAGCCTCTGTTGCTTTGTGTCAAATAATAATGATGATGACAATAATAACTGCTGATGCATATAACATTAGATAACTCGTTTAATCTTCACAAGAACCCAATGAATCAGATACTCTGAATAAGCCATTTTATAGATGACACAATGGACGAGGAGAGGTGAAGTAATTGGCTCAAGGCTTCCAGCCGACGCGTGGCAGAGCGGGGACCTGAGTGCAGGCAGCCTGGCCACTCCTACGGCTTCTCCTACAGGTCGTCCCATTCCGGCCTGGCCCATCGTTCCTCAGCCTTGTTCAGGATTGCAGCCGGGTAACCACGCAGCCTGAACATGGCGGCTCGCGCCCTCCTCGAAATGGGGGAGCTAGTGGCTGAATGGTGGTACCTGCACGTGACCCCTGGCCTCCCGAGCACGGATGGAACCATCTGAATCGCACGTGAAGGTTTACTTGTTACCAGTGGCGATTTTTCTATAAAAGCACAGCACTTTACTCAACTCACAAAGCCTAATAGTTTCTACAGTCTAGTTACCATAAGAAAAATTATTCACTACAAGAACAGGGTTTAAGGAAATGCAATTTGTCCCAAGCAAGCAGGCTTCTCGCTAAACTCTCTACAGAAACAGGTTCTCCCTCCACTAACCCTGGTCTTAGTGGATCAGAGTCCCAGATCGTGGCAAGCTCTGTCAGGCGCTAAGTAACACCTGTGGCCCTCCTTGGGCTCTAGATGTAAAACGGATCTATCCATATAATTCCACTTGGGAACTGAAAACTGGTGTCTGTGTGAATCCTGTTTCTTCCCCTCCAAACACTCCCCATTCATTTCACATTTTCCCAGCAGGAAACTGTGATCTTGAGCACTGGATCTACTTCTGTCCACTGACCAGACCCAACGCCAGTGTTTCCCACTCCAGCTGGGGCTGCCTCTGGGGAGGGTCCCTGACGCACAGAGCCCCTTCTGAGTTCTACACTTCTTGTAGCTCAGCCGGCATCTGGTTCTCAAAGCGTGAAGGGAGAGACGTGTGGTCTGGGAGCCTTTTCCTGATATATATCAGGAAAAAATACATATATTTTTCCCTGGAATCATATATATACACACACATATATACACACACACATCAATATTATATATATATAATATATAATATATTTTTTTTGAGATGGAGTCTCGACTCTGCGCGCGGTAGATTGCAATGGCTGCAACCTCTACTCTCCCAGGGTTCAAAGTGATTCTCTGGCCCAGCCTCCGGAGGTAGCGTTGGGATTACAGGCGTGCACCACATGCCTGAGCTTAATTTTTTAATATTTTTTAAGTAGAGATGGTGTTTCACCTAGTGGCGCCAGGCTGGTTTCAAACTCCTGACCTCAAGTGATCCACCTGCCTCGGCCTCCCACAGTGCTGGGATTACAGGCTGAGCCACTGTGCCCAACCCTTTTTCTGCTATTGAGACGGCACCCCACACGCCAGTGCTGTTTCCTTACAGCCCTCTTAGAGGTTCCATAGCCTCGCTTCCCAGTTAGGGCCATACTCGACCCGAAAGCCACATTCTAAGTCTTCTAAGCAAATCTGCAGAGGAGCTGCTCTTGGCTTCCTTTGCCAAAGGCTAGAAAAGCAAGCGTCCAGCTTGACTGCAGGTGCCTGACCCCTGGCCTCACCACCACGCAGGCTGGCAACAGCGTGTGCCACCAGGCATTTGATGGAACTCCCTGTGGCCAGGAGGGAGGGGAAACGGCAGCGCCCCCACCGGCCGTGCCCCACACGGCAGCGCCCCCACCGGCCGTGTCCCACACGGCAGCGCCCGACCCGCTGATGCACACAGAGCTGCAAACAATATCACAGTGTTTGGAGGAGCCGGTCTGCTCTCCAGATGTCTGCGGCCAGACACCACCGTGGATTTTTTCAGTGCTTTTAGAGTAGGCGAAGCTCCATCCAACACACACAGAATGGTCAGGAGATGGAGACCATCCTGGCTAACACGGTGAAACCCCGTCTCTACTAAAAATACAAAAAACTAGCCGGGCGTGGTGGTGGGCACCTGTAGTCCCAGCTACTTGGGAGGCCGTGGTGGGAGAATGGCATGAACCTAGGAGGCGGAGCTTGCAGTGAGCCAAGATTGCGCCACTGCACGCCAGCCTGGGCAACAGAGCGAGACTCTGTCTCAGAAAAAAAAAAATGAGGGTCTTTGCAGATCTAATTAAAGTAAGGATTAAGATGAGATGAGCCTAGATTACCTACATTAGGGTGGGTCCCCTCTGAAGCCACGCGTTTTTGTACAGGTACATGACATGACAGGAGCCTGGAAGCCTGAGCCACTGCCCTGCCGATGTCAGCCTGCGACCAGAAGGAGAAACAAACCTTTGCTGTGCTAAGCCGTGGGGTTTCAGGTTTATTTGTTGCTGCACCATAACATAGGCTGGCAACATTTTTAACCTCTCTGAGCCTCCCTTTCTTCATTTGCAAAGTGTTAATTGTAATATCTATTGTAGTCAAGGCCAGTTTCATCACAGGTAACAGAAACCCACTTATTCTGCTAAAGCAGAAAGGCAGTTTGTTGGAAAGCTTCAGGAGACTCTCACGAAACCCAGCACCCACTACCTTCCTAACCACGAGGACACACCCTTAGTCCCGGCGTTGTCGGCCAGTCCACTGTGTCTCCGTGTCTCACCCCATGCTCCCCGGAGAAAAATCCTGCCTGTCTTAGCTGGTGTCCAGTTAGCTGCAGACATAGACCTGGGCCACATAAGACACACGTGGCCTGGGTTTTCTTTTTATGTGCAGTGCACACTTCTCTCTAAGACGGGGATCATGGGCTGAGCAGATACCCCAAAGGGTCTGCCATGCTGGAAGCAGAAATGCTGAGGTTTCATCAAAGAGCCTGTGTTGGGATCACTGGAGAGGGGCACGGAAAGCATTCCAGCAGTTTTGCTAACAGAGAATATGCCCTCAGCCACTGCTCTAGAGCCACAGCCCAGATCCTAGCCTTTCTGGGGGCCCCGCCCTGTGAACTGCCCTAAGACTGCCTCACTGTTCAGAGACTCTGTCTGTCCTTACTACTTCCACCCAGGCCCGTGAGAACCTTTCGCCAAGCAGAGCAAGCCTGTAAATAGCTTTGCGGTCACAGAGGCATCAGTGGTGCTGAAAAAGCTGTGAGCTGGACGCTGCCCCCCGCTTCCTCTGGGCCTTGCCTTCCAGACGCCCCGTGTGTCCACGCTGTTGTGGGCCCTGAAAGAACTTTGGCATTTGCTGAAAGGTCACCAGCTGCAATTTCAGATCATGTAGGTAACTCGAACTTCCAACATTTAAATGTAGCTGAAAGGGGCATGACAGCTGCACAGGTGCCAGGCTGGGCTGGAGCGTGGCAGAAACGGGCTCTCCCTTGGATCCCTTTACGGGGTGAGCTGACTTATAAACGGCACTGGCCAATCCCCTCCCTCCTGATCCCCAAGTTATCCAGGCTTCTGCTCAGCCTTGACGCCCACAGTGCTGGACAACCGGCGCCTCTCCAGAGGTCTGCACAAAACACTGGCTTGTTGGTTTCACTTCCAATCTGTTGTGAGCAGATATGTTAATAAAACATAATAAGCCGTGCACAGTGGCTCACGCCTGTAATCCCAGCAGTTTGGGAGGCTGAGGCAGGTGGATCATGAGATCAAGAGATCGAGACCATCCTGGCCAATATGGTGAAATCCCGTCCCTACTGAAAATACAAAAGGTAGCCGGGTGTGGTGGTGCGCGCCTGTAGCCCCAGCTACTTGGGAGGCTGAGGTGGGAGAATCACTTGAACCTGGAGGATGGAGCTTGCAATGAGGCGAGATCGTGCCCCGGCACTCCAGTCTGGGCAACACAGCGAGACTCTGTCTCAAAAAACCAAACCAAACCAAACAAAAACATAATAAAAAGAATTACAGGAATGGCTAGTAAGCACCTGTTCAACATCACTAATCATTAGGAAGATGCAACTACTCTAAGCCACAGTGAGATACCTCCTCACACCCATTAGGATGGCCACTGTAAAAACAAACAAACAGAAAATAACAAGTGCTGGCAATAAGGTGGAGACCCTGGGACCCTC